TGCACTTAGCTGCTGTATATGTTCAGGCTCCTCATATTTTTATTTGTACCATTGCTTCTCTGCTTTATAATATTTAAGTCTTTGAAGAGACCTGCAGAATATTGTGTATTCAGAATTTTTGTGTGTGTGTGGTTAGGCTCAAGTTGAACATTTCTGGGAAGAACAACTTATAGGTGATGCCATTTCCCTCCCACTGCATAAATTCAAGGGGCAGGACATCAGACGATTCCACTAGTGTCAATGTCAAGCTCAACCACTTGGATAATATGGCGAACTCTCTATTATAAAGATATATGTTGGCCAGGCGCGGTGGCTCAAGCCTGTAATCCCAGCACTTTGGGAGGCCGAGGCGGGTGGATCACGAGGTCAAGAGATCGAGACCATCCTGGTCAACATGGTGAAACCCCGTCTCTACTAAAATACAAAACATTAGCTGGGCATGGTGGTGCGTGCCTGTAATCCCAGCTACTCAGGAGGCTGAGGCAGGAGAATTGCCTGAACCCAGGAGGCGGAGGTTGCGGTGAGCCGAGATCGTGCCATTGTACTCCAGCCTGGGTAACAAGAGTGAAACTCTGTCTCAAAAAAAAAAATAAATAAATAAAGACATATGTTGTCCCTTTGTAATTAATAAGTTATCTGTGGGCTAATACCTTAAAACTAAAAGAGTATTCTGTTTTCCTAGAACTTTTCACCTAATGATTTAAGCATCTATCTGTCTGTCTATCTATCTATCTATCTATCTATCTATCTATCTATATTTTTTGAGACAGGGTTTCGCTCTGTTGCCCAGGCTGGAGTGCAGTGGCACATCATAGCTCATTGCAGTCTCGACCTCCTGGCCTCAAGTGATTTTCTATTTTTGGCTTCCCAAAACACTGGGATTACAGGTGTGAGCCATTGCACCCAGCCCTAAGCATCTATTTTTAATGACTCAAATCAAGTTTTACACTGGAGGTTAAAAAAATAATTTTCTCATTCTATCAATTATTCTAAATTTACTAGTGGCTGAAATAAATCTGCTGTAACAAACACTGAATAACCAGCCGGGTGTGGTGGCTCTTGCCTGTAATCCCAGCACTTTGGGAGGGCAAGTCAGGAGGATCACTTGAGGCCAAGAGTTTGAGACTAGCCTCTGGTCTCTCTCTCTTTCTCTCTCTCTATTTGTATATATGTAATTAAATTTAAAAATAAACACTGAATACAATGATAAAATTTCATCAACTAAGCTAAGTGATAAAAATTTTATCACCAGGCCTTAGTACTTATGAAATTCTGATCTCCAGTTCTTCAACTGGTCTTTCCAAGTTCAAAGGTAGATGATGCCGTCCAAAAGTGCCTGAGATACCTCAGGATTTCAGTTCATTTCCAACTACACCACACCCTGAACCAGTCGCCTAAGCCAAGTACTTTTACACTCTATCAGTTTGAGTGTTACCACCTCAAGGAGGCCGGTCCTTATTAGCCCAGGTGGAGACAATTGGTCTCATTTGTGCCCAAGCCATCCACAAAGCTCCATCAGGGCATCTCTGATGCTTCGTTGCACATAATTACTGTTGAATTTACTTCCCTCCTCTGGATACCTCGAGGCAGGATAAGAATCTTGTCTTACTGGTTTTCTTGCCCATAGCATCTAGGATAATGTTCAATTGACATTGAATTCACAGACAAAATCTATATCATCTAAGAAAACCCCTGAGAGTTAAGTGAGACATATATCATTTGTTTGTTTTTTGCAGAGAAAAATTCAGAGAGGCTAAGTTACTTTCAGAGGTCTGATTTTGTATCTACCCAAGAGTAAATTCCAGTGATGCTCACTCAGTAGTTAAGGGATTTCCAGGAATAGGAAAACATCCCAAATGTTCTTTCATACAATGCCTTGCTCATTTTCTCCAAACTTCCCCATCTTGAGTATACTTCTCTGTTTTTCTAATTATTAAAGCTATTACTTGGTAACAGAAATAGAGGCAAGGAAAGACTGCATAACTTGCATCTACCATACTCTTAGAACACAAAGGGGCCAGGGTTTCCTTGGACAGTCCAGAGCCTAGGCTTGAACCCTTTCATAATAGAACCTTCATCTTACTTTAGTGCAGACCAAGTGTCAGGTCTAAGAAAGAAGAGCTGCATAAAGCAGAATTGTTAGTCTCCTCATTTACAGGAGCAAATCCATCTTAAAGGGGGATCAGGTAACTTCCCAAGTAATAACTAGTAACTAGTAAAACTAGGGTTCTGAACCCAGATGACCCGACTCCACGGGCTGAAGTCTTCATGGCTGATCCACTGCCTCTTTAAATTCCCCCTTCTAAGTCCAAGAGCACCTTCTATCTTACAATTAGACTTTAGAATCAAAAATTCCTCTTTTCAGGGGAAGGGAAATCAGCAGCAGTGCCAAGGCTAACACCAGCTACCATTTATTGAGCAGACTATGTTCCCAGAAGTGTTCTGAGTATTTTAAGCACGTTACCACATTTCATCCCAACTTTCATCCTGTAAAGTAGATGTTGCTCTAAGCATAGAACATTTTCACTGAATTCTCACAACCAACATCTTTATGAAAATCATGGAGGTTTTAACTCATAAGTATAACTCAGTTATGAAAATGTGCCCAGAATAAGCAATGTAGTTTAAAACAACTCACAACTTGTGTCATTCTGGATAAGAAAGAGAATTCTGGACTTTTTTTTTTTTTTTTTTTTTTTTGAGATAAGATCTTGCTTTGTTGCCCAGGCTGGAATGCAGTGGCACAATCACCGTTCACTGAAGCCTTGACCTCCCTGGCTCAAGAAATCCTCCCAACTCAGCCTTCCAAGTACCTGGGACCACAGGTGCCATCCCCATGTCTGGCCAATAGTCTGTATTATTAGTAGAGATGGGTCTCACCATGTTGCCCAGGTTGGTCTTGAACTCCTGGGCTCAAATGATCTGCTTGCTCCAGCCTCTGAAAGTGTTGGAATTACAGGTATGAGCCTGGCCAGGACATTCTTTTTACTATGAAACAGCAAAAAGATCAGTGGTTGCCAGGGGTTCAGGGGGAGAAAGGGAGGAACAAACAGGTGGAGCATGAGGGATTTATAGTGCAGTGAAAGCATTCTGTATAATACGGCCATAGTGCATACATATCATTATACATTCGTCAAAACTCATAGAAGGTACAATGCAAAGAGTGAACCCTAATGTAAACTGTGGACTTTAGCTAATAATCATATATTAATATTGGCTCATCAATTGTAACAGATGTACCACATTAATGCAAGATGTTAATAATAGTGGAAAATGGGGCTGGGGATGTATATGGGAACTTTATGTACTTTCCACTTATTTTTCTATAAATCTAAAACTGCACCAAAAATTGCCTATTAATTAAAAATATGTATCTAGGCCAGGCACAGTGGCTTACACCTGTAATCCCAGCACTTTGGGAGGCTGAGGTGGGTGGATTATCCGACGTCAGGAGATCGAGACTAGCCTGACCAACATGGTGAAACCCTGTTTCTACTAAAAATACCAAAATATTAGCCAGGTGTGGTGGCAGGCACCTGTAATCCCAGCTACTCAGGAGGCTGAGACAGGAGAATCGCTTGTACCCAGGAGATGGAAGTTGCAGTGAGCCGAGATCGGACCACTGCACTCCAGCCTGGGAAACCAGAGTGAAACTCCATCACAAAAAAAAAAAAAAAAAAAAAAGAGAGACAGAGAGGCGGCGCAGCGCGGGCTGGGTGTAGGTGTCCGCCTGCCTCTGGAAGTTCCACCCCGAGATCTGCCGGCAGAAGGTGACGCTTTACATGACCTCGCAGTAAACTTGTGGGGATGTCCGTGGGAACTTGAAGAAATCCGCAAATGTGGAATGAAAAACTTCCGTAACATCCAGGTTGATGAAGCTAATTTATTGACTTGGCAAGGGCTTATTGTTCCTTACAACCCTCCGTATGATAAGGGGGCCTTCAGAATCGAAATCAACATTCCAGCAGAGTACCCATTCAAACCACCGAAGATCACATTTAAAACAAAGATCTATCACCCGAACATCGATGAAAAGGGGCAGGTCTGTCTCCCAGTAATTAGTGCTGAAAACTGGAAGCCAGCAACCAAAACCGACCAAGTAATCCAGTCCCTCATAGCACTGGTGAATGACTCCCGGCCCGAGCACCCACTTCGGGCTGACCTAGCTGAAGAATACTCTAAGGACTGTAAAAAAATTCTGTAAGAATGCTGAAGAGTTTACAAAGAAATATGGGGAAATGCGACCTGTGGACTAAAATCTGCCAAGATTGGTTCCAGCTGGTGTGAGCAGAGACCCTGTGCAGTGCATACAGACGACACCCGGCAAAGCAGGACTCTGGAAATTGACATGTGCCACCGCCTGGCATTCGCTTGTGGCAGTTTCTAACTTTCTACAGTTTTCTTAATCAAAAGTGGTCTAGGTAATCTGTAAAGAAAGGATTAAAAATTTAAGATGTTCTAGTTCTGCTCTCTTTGTTTTAAAAATCACTGCTTCAATCTACTTCAAAACAATGGTTTTTCTTTTCTTGTCCAATTTTACCCAAAATCTTCAAGTTACATTTAGCCCATAAGGTTTATAAAAAAAAGTTTAAAAAAAGTTGTGGTACCCTTTCTTCCCTACCCTTGCCACTTTGGCAGTTTATTTTTCACTTACTTACTTTCCCAGACCCGGGCTCCGCCTCCTCCACAAAGAAGAAGAGACAGCCCTGGTGGTCCTGGTGGCTTTTTCTCACACGTGTGGGACTGTGGCCCAGTGTGGGAGCTGGTTTAGATTCTGATTCCAGTTTCTACAATCCTTTTCAAAAATTTAAAAACAAGCAAACAGCTACACCCCTCTTCAGTCCTCCTCTCCGGTTCTTGTGTGAAACTCCAGCTGATGTTACCATAGCAACATCAGTTAATTGGGCAAGCCCTGAGGTCAGTGCGTGTACCTGACCTCTGGCCTGGCCTGCACAGAGAAACCCTATAACCACAGGTCTGTGGTGGCCCTGAAAGGGGGGCCTGTTAGTCAGGAGGATGCTGTGCACACTGTGTGTGATGAATCTCGCCAGAAGGGCTCCTGCGGTCCCAGGTTGGCACTCCTCTCTGCAGTCATTTTAGAAGATCTGCTGGTCCTTGCAGGCAAAGCTACAGTCAGAATGTCCATTTGAAATTCCCAGCTTATCTGTCACCGAGCTCCATCTGAATGTGCCGTGGAGCTTGCTCTCCACTCTGTGCAGCGGCCCCGCCACAGCCTTCCCTTGGCACACTTTTTTGACCCTTTGCAAAATTGGAATTGGTGGGACTCAGCTAATTAAAGCACCAGTCCGGGGTTGCCAGAGCCCCTTCTGGCCCCTTCCTCCACAGCAGCCAGCCCAGCCCAGGAACAAGGTGGACTTCCCTCTCCCTTTGGACTCACAGCCTTTGCAGAGTCAAGCTCCACTTGAAGCTCACTCAGTAATATCCTTTCAATGTGTTTTATATTGTTTTGACTGCTTTTCTTTGTAGAAATAAGAATGACCTTAGAATTTATCATCAGATAAACTTGTAAAGATTTGAATATTAATGTCTTTTCAAGGCAGATGGGACTGTCCCCAAACTAGTAGAGAATCTGTGTTGTTTTGACACCCCAAGGAAGCCGACGAGATCCAAATGCCGTGTCTCACTAACCCCACTTCTGCCACTGGTGGCTTCCCTTTGTGGCTTTTGGGGGGGACTAGGTCCTGTGAATAAGATGACTTAATCTTTGCTTTTTGTTTTAATTTTAATTTTATAATTTGAGATCTTTCCAGGGCCTACAGACTTGTAAGACAGCTTGGTGTGGCCTGTGCAGAAGTGGGGAGTGATGGGCAGGTTAGGCGGCCTAACGTTGTTCAGTTGTCCAGGCGCGTGGCCCCTGCGGTGTGTACATGATCTCAGCTTCTTTTGTCCTAGGTACGCCAAGGGCAGGTTTCTGGAGACTCCGGTGTGCCCAGAATGGCAAGGGCACTGGACTGGTTTTTCCACATCTGTCTCTTCATTAGCAGAAAAGTGATGATGGATTTTATTTCACTCACACTCCAATTTGTACTAAAAATGCCAAATTCTGTCAGAAACTATCCAAACAAGCCACCATTTGTTCTTGTTGCTTCTCTAGATCCAGAAATGTTGCCATTCTTGGAAACTGTCCCATTGCTTCATACTTCTGCCAATGTAGCTCTGCCTGCCTGTCAGCCCCTCACGTCACTTTGCTCACTACGGGTGGATACCTGCGTGCCGGCAGCCCCTCAGGGACTCTTCAACCCTGGCACTGGCACCCCAGGGTAGGCCCCATTAGCAGAGGCCTGGCTTTTGAGCCAGTGGGTGTCTCTTCCTCGGGCCTGGGCAGCTTCCTCCTGCCAGCTGTGCCCTCAGGGTAGGCTCTGAGCAAGCTGGTGAACAGCCCTGGCTGCTCCAAAACCAAAAAGCTGGGTCCTCTGGAGGGGCCAGCTGTGGAGCAGCCACCCACCACTGTCCCGAGCTCACTCAGGAATTCACACCTGCCTGGTTCCTTGAAGTGTGCGGAGTCCTTCCCTCTGCTCCCCACTCCAGCAGAGAATAGGCTTTCTAAGATGCTGTGGTCCCGTTCTGCTGCCCTTAATAAAAATGCTCTCAGACACTGGAAAAAAAAAAATCTATATCTATAGGTATAGATACCTGCACAAGAATAGGGATGTATGGCAAAGAAAGAACAGTATTTGCAAGGTGCTCAATGTATCATATGTTGCACAACTTGCCTCCATCATACTCTTAGAACACAAAGAGTATGGCAGTTCTTAAAATTGGTTTTATTGGACCTCTCAGTTAGCTTCTCTTCAACTTGTTCCTAGTGAACCACACTGCTTCAACAGAGTTGTCAACAGTAGAGACCACATCCAATAGCAAAGCTAACAGGAGTTTCCCTTTCAGTAAGCAAAAGAGTTGCATTATTGACATGCATCCTATGGTCTGAGGGAAGTGGCTTCCAGTATTTCTGAACTTAAACTAGGCAAAGTGTCCGCAATAGGAAAACCTAGGTCATTTTGCCCTCAGAAGGACTGACATGGGAAAATATTCCCATTTGCACTGTGAGTGACAACAAACAAACAAACAAAGTGTTCTCATAGTTTTTAGATTAGGTGTACATACTCTTTAACTGAACTTTATTTTCTGAAAGCAAGTTCTAGCAGCAGAGATGGTACAAGGTACACTGCAAGGGCAGTCATAAAAATCCATATTGGCCTGGAGCCCAAAGCAGGAGTCATCAGGGACAGAATCATTGCCACAGGTCCTTAGTTCCCTCTGTGCTCCATGGAGTGTGGAGAAAACTGTCTTCCAGGTCAGCTAGTTGGGGGGTGGGAGGGGGAAAAACATGCACACCTGGAAATGAGGGCGTCTTTGTGGCCTGAGCTCATTTTACCTCTTTTCTTTTTAAAGTCCAGATGAGGCCGGGCGCGGTGGCTCACGCCTGTAATCCTAGCACTTTGGGAGGCCGAGGTGGATGGATCACCTGAGGTCAGGAGTTCAAGACCAGCCTGGCAATCATGGTGAAACCCCATCTTTATATGTTTAAAAATATTTAAATCAACCAATAAATAAAGTCTAGATGAGACATGAACATTATGAATTGGAAATTAGAAACAGAGAAGTCAAAGAAGGAGGTGTTCAGTGTTAGTTGAGAAAAACTACACCCAACATGCACTCACACATAGGCCAGTAAGATCTTGCGTAGGGCGTATTTCAGGAGCCTGGAAATTAGAGAGCACAAACATGAGAAAGTGAAGGTGAAGGTCAGTGCCCCTAAAGAAAGGACTAGAACGAAATAGAACAATCCTATTATCAAAGTTCTTAGGTTTTGATTTTTCCTAGTGGGGTGGGGATAGGGTAGTGTGATTTAAAAAACAAAGTAACACAGGTGCTATCATAAATCACATGGATACTGTCAGTGCTGGAGGCAGAGGGGGTCTTTAGATCTAATGTAGGGCATGAGCTTTCAAAATGTGTTCCATGCAGCCAAGAATTTTCTGAAGTTTCTCTAGGGCCATTTTCAGTGGCTAAAGCTCACCTGTGGCCACCCTTCTTCTGCTTCAACCTGAACAGGTCTACGTTCATGTTTTTGATATTTGGAATGCACATAGTTTCTTTGTGGGCCTGAAGTTTCCACTTCTTCAAAGAAAATGTTTTTTAAAGACAACCAATTTAGCCCTAAGTTCAAAGAGACAGAACCTTCTAAAGCTACCTGTTGTCATTTCTTCCAGATCAGAAATGGCTGAATGGAGTCTTATTTTTTTCCACACTCTTGCTAATGGAAAACCTACTTTGAGTACATAGACTGTCACATGAAAAGAAAAATCTCCAGCCGATGCCTGTAATTCCAAGCACTTTGGGAGGCCGAAGTGGGCAGATCATGAGGTGAGGAGTCAAAGACCAGTCTGACCAACATGGTGAAACCCTGTCTCTACTAAAAAATACAAAAACAAAATCAGCTGGGCATGGTGGCATGCGCCTGCAGTCCCAGCTAGTCGGGAGGCTGAGGCTGGAGAATTGCTTGAATCCAGAAGGCAGAGGTTGCAGTGAGCCAAGATCACGCCACTGCACTCTAGGTTGGGCAACAGAACGAGACTTATTCTCAAAAAAACAAAACAAAACAAAACAAATCTCCGTGAGACTATCCAAATAATTATATGGTCTTTAGTATTATTCTAATATGAAGAACTACCAACTACTGCTTAAAAATTGGAAATTTTATTAAAATGGTATATTTAACCCATAAATTGTCACCTTTTCAGGAAATAGATTATTCCAGATCCTTAACTTTAATAACCTGTTTTGCCTATTTTATAAAATAAATGAGTACTAAATACTCTTAATTTAATTTAATGGAATATTGTACGAAACAAAGCCTTAAAATGCCTCAGTCCTCGCTCTGAAGTCAGTGCTCACTATATTTGTGCAGTTGTAAATACAGAAAATGTGATACATGGCTGGGTGCGGTGGCTAACGCCTGTAATCCCAGCACTTTGGAAGGCCTAGGTAGGCGGATCACGAGGTCAAGAGATCGAGACCATGGTGAAACCCCGTCTTTACTAAAAAATACAAAAATTAGCTGGGTGTGGTGGCGCTGACCTGTGGTCCCAGCTACTCGGGAGGCTGAGGCAGGAGAATTGATTGAACCCAGGAAGTGGAGGTCGCAGTGAGTAGAGATCGTGCCACTGTACTCCAGCCTGCCACCTGGGGCCTGGCAACAAAGCCAGACTCTGTCTCAAAAAAAAAAAAAAAAAGAGAGGGAGAGAAAGTTTCTCCCAGGGCATAATCCTTAAGAATAGAACTGTCGGATCCTAAGATATGTAAATCCTCAAATTTACTAAACAAACAAAGCCAACCTGGGGTATAGCTTGCTTTAGCATATTCTTTGTGGTATTGTTGGAAAAGCAGGTTCTTAATAAAGTTTATAATTTTTTCTTTTGTATTTTATAACATTTTGTATGTCCTAAGAAATCTTTGCCAGTCTTAAATATTTCCTGCTGAAAGTATTGTGGTTTTAATTTTTGGCTGAGGTCTCTGATCAAGTTAATATTGATTTTGTTATTATTATTTTTTGGTATAGTGAAGTATATTATTAGTCAAGACCCATGTTCTTCCTTACAACTGGTGTCTTCTATCCAGTTATTTCAGCATTACTCGTTTTAAAAAGAAGAAAAACAATTATCCTTTTCTCGTGAAGTTTCTTGGTCTCTGTTAAAAATCAATTTTCACATGTATGTGGATTTACCCGTAGTCACTTTATTCTGTTTGTTTGTTATTTTTATTTTTATACCAGTACCTCACCTTTTTTGTTACTGTAGCATTATAATAAATCTTGCAATCAGATAGTTAAAAATGTTCAAAATTATATTGTTTTCTTTCAAATTATTTTGGCTCTTGTTAGGTCTTCATGCTTTTATATTAAATTTTGATTTATTTGCTTGTTTGTTTATTTATTTGGGACAAAGCCTGATTGTGTCACCCAGGCTGGAGTGCAGTGGCACGATCTCGGCTCACTGCAATCTTTGCTTCCTGGGTTCATGTGATTCTCATGCCTCAGCCTTCCGAGTAGCTGGGACTACAGG